AGTAATTCGAGCAATGTGAGTGGTTTGGAGCTTTTTTTGGGGTTGTTTGGGCTAATTGCTTATCCAACTTCAAACGGCGATAACCGGAGCAAATGAGCTCCGAATTGAGCGTATGATAGCTTGTTAAAAAGGGAATTAAGTAGTACAAAAATATAATCTGAGAAGAAGGGTTGGTTGCGATCGGTTTGGTCGCAGAAAAATTTAGAGTGAAACATGTTCGAATTGGTAAAAACGTAAAGTTGGAAATAGGCTAAGTGAGTTTATGGGAACTCCTTAGTAACTCATAATAAATGATGTAAGTTATAAAAATAGTTGAAATAAGTCTTCCGCAAGAGTTTACGGTTACGGTCACAGCTTTTAATTATTACGCTTTTTATGATTTAATTGCTCGCGTAATAGTCGGAAAAAATTTATTCTCGTTTTTTTAAATGAACTGCTGTGATTGTAACTGCGCTTAATATCATAATTAATGTTAACAATACCGGTACGTAACGGGCTGTTAAATTAATTGTGATACAGATCAGAAATTCTTGCAATCACATGATATTCTTCCTGATTCTTCTCCCTGATTCCATGCATGGATGGACAGATAAGAATTTTCCTGAGTATCTAATATAATTTTAATGAAAGAAATTGCCAATATTATCAACCATTTCTCTTAACACTTGATTTAGGTTATTTAACTTTTTTTTATTAAATAAAATTATTTAACTTTTGGCTTTATTTATAAACTTTTAAGGGGTTTAGAAATTTTATGTTAATGCTCCAAAAATTATTTTACAGCTGAGACAATAAAATATGAAGACCACAATTTTTTCCCCTTTTTTATTATCTCGGGCGCTGTGCATATCGACACGATTCTACAAATTTTGTGTTGATGCAGCAACAAAAAATTTATAAATCCCAATTTCTAATTAAAAAATACCATGTCATCGAAATTTTGAATTTACTTTTTATGGTAAGCTAGCATTAAATGTATATTTATATATATATATATATTTTAGATGCTTTAAAAATTTGATCAATTTATACCATAATAAAAATATTTGGGTTATTTATCTGATTAACAAATGTTGGATTCGTTAAATGACATCCATAATTATAACGATCTTAGGGTAGAGAAATTTTTGTCCTATAATTTTCGATACGTTTATTTTAAATTTTGGATACTTCAAAAATTAAACTGCCATCGTGAAAATCAATTTATACCATAATATTTAAAAACATTTGACTTATTTATCCGATTAATAAATGTTAAGACATATTTAATGACAATTGTAACTATAACATTTCAAGGGGTAGAGAAATTTTTATGTATATTTGTTTTTTATTTTTGATATCTCAAGATTTGATTACGATAGTTAAAATCAATTTACACCATATGACTATCGATGGATAGGATTGGTGAATGCACTTTTTGACAAAATTGAATTTGGAAATAGAAACTTCTCATTCAGCTTGTGTTTTGCTTCTTGTTATGATGTCATCCTTGGATGTTAATTGTGATACAGATCAGAAATTCTTGCAATCACATGATATTCTTTCTGATTCTTCGCCCTGATTCCATGCATGGATGGACATATAAGAATTTTCCCGAGTATCTAATATAATTTAAATGAAAGAAATTTCCAATATTATCAATCGTTTCTCTTAACACTTGATTTAAGTTATTTATCTTTTTTTTATTAAAAAAAATTATTTAACTTTTGGCTTTAGTTATAAACTTTTAAGGGGTTTATAAATTTTATGTTAATGCTCCAAAAATTATTTTACAGCTGAGACAATAAAATATGAAGACCACAATTTTTTTCCCTTTTTTATTATCTCGGGCGCTGTGCGTATCGACCCGATTCTACAAATTTTGTGTTGATGCAGCAACAAAAAATTTATAAATCCCAATTTCTAATTAAAAAATACCATGTCATCGAAATTTTGAATTTACTTTTTATGGTAAGCTTGCATTAAATGTATATATATATATATATATATATATATATATATATATATATATTTTAGATGCTTTAAAAATTTGATCAATTTATAACATAATAAAAATATTTGAGTTATTTATCTGATTAACAAATGTTGGATTCGTTAAATGACATCCATAATTATAACGATCTTAGGGTAGAGAAATTTTTGTCCTATAATTTTCGGTACATTTATTTTAAATTTTGGATACTTGAAAAATTAAACTGCCATCGTGAAAATCAATTTATACCATAATAAAAACATTTGACTTATTTATCCGATTAATAAATGTTAAGACATATTTAATGACAATTGTAACTAAAACATTTCAAGGGGTAGAGAAATTTTTATGTATATTTGTTTTTTATTTTTGATATCTCAAGATTTGATTACGATAGTTAAAATCAATTTACACCATATGACTATCGATGGTTAGGATTAGTGAATGCACTTTTTGACAGAATTGAATTTGGAAATAGAAACTTCTTATTCACCTTGTGTTTTGCTGCTCGTTAAGATGTCATCCTTGGATGTTAATTGTGATACAGATCAGAAATTCTTGCAATCACATGATATTCTTCCTGATTCTTCTCCCTAATTCCATGCATGGATGGACAGATAAGAATTTTCCTGAGTATCTAATATAATTTTAATGAAAGAAATTGCAAATATTATCCATCGTTTCTCTTAACACTTGATTTAAGTTATTTAACTTTTTTTTATTAAAAAAAATTATTTAACTCTTGGCTTTAGTTATAAACTTTTAAGGGTTTATAAATTTTATGTTAATGCTCCAAAAATTATTTTGCAGCTGAGACAATAAAATATGAAGACCACAATTTTTTTCCCTTTTTTATTATCTCGGGCGCTGTGCGTATCGACCCGATTCTACAAATTTTGTGTTGATGCAGCAACAAAAAATTTATAAACCCCAATTTTTAATTAAAAAATACCATGTCATCGAAATTTTGAATTTACTTTTTATGGTAAGCTAGCATTAAATATATATATATTTTTTTTAGATACTTTAAAAATTTGATCAATTTATACCATAATAAAAATATTTGGGTTATTTATCTGATTAACAAATGTTGGATTCGTTAAATGACATCCATAATTATAACGATCTTAGGGTAGAGAAATTTTTGTCCTATAATTTTTGATACGTTTATTTTAAATTTTGGATACTTCAAAAATTAAACTGCCATCGTGAAAATCAATTTATACCATAATAAAAACATTTGACTTATTTATCCGATTAATAAATGTTAAGACATATTTAATGACAATTGTAACTATAACATTTCTAGGGTAGAGAAATTTTTATATATATTTGTTTTTTATTTTTGATATCTCAAGATTTGATTGCGATAGTTAAAATCAATTTACACCATAATCACAGTATCCAATTAACAGTGGCCATAATTATAATGGTCCTGAAATGATAACATTCTTTATCGGGTAAGTTTTGACTCGCACGAAAACATGTGTGTACAAATTTTTAGTTAGCAAAGTATTTCCTTTAACAAAAAAAAATTAAAGTATTTCTTTGATTCTTGTAAATAACTTATTTTCAGTTATCCCAAAATTTCGTCGTTTTAAATTAATAAAAAGTATTTCTGTAATTTTATTTATTTTTTTTCAAATAAATTTTACTTAAACACCCGTCATTAATTTTCCTAACTTACGGAAACACCTTCATTAATTCAAAACGACGTAATTTTGGAATCACTTATATCCGGTGACTGAAGAAATTCTTTATCCTTACTTTAATTGTTTAATTGCGGTAGTTGGAATCAATTTACCTTAAAAAAAATTAGAAATGATATTGTAACAACCAATTAGGGTTACTATCAATGTTACAACCAATCAATTTCACCATTAGATCGATTATATTGATCCAACAGTTATATTTATTTCCATCTTTGTATGATTATGATTTATCACATTTAATGATAACCGTTGAATCAATGTAATCGATTTAATGATAAAATTAATTAGTAATAACATTGACTTTGCAAGCTTGCCCCTAATCAATTGGCAATTGCAGCATCCAAGAGTTAATAGTTAAAAAGGGTTAAAAAAAGAAAAGAAAAGAAAAGGCATCTGCTGCGTATTTTCCTTCACAAATTTGCCTTCACCAAGTAATAAAAGCAAGTGGGGCCTTTGTTTTCGGACTATATCTATATTGACAATCCAACATAATCAAATGATTGAAACCATAAAGCAAAGCTTATTTATCTACTTTTTGTTTCTTTTTGGAGATTTAATCAATTAAGTTGAAGATTTAATCGATTAAATCTTCAAGTCAACCATTTTTGTTAGTTTTGACCATTTAATCGATTAAATATTCAACTTAATCGATTAAAGAGGGACAGATTAATAGATAATTTTGAATGAGGGGCAAAATGGTTATTAATTAATTAATTAAGGGTAAAAGGGTCAAAAAGCCTAATTTTTCTGATAGGGTACACAGTTTTAATATGTATATATAATCATTTAAATTTTTTAAATATTTTATGCAAACAGGACTGCAGTGATATCACGATTTAAACGAAGTAATATTTTTTATAATGCTTATTATGTCTGAAATATATATATATATAAGTTTTTTTTTTTATAACAGAAATATATTTTTTTAAGTTTTAAGAAGGATCTCTAAGGATTTAGGGAAAAGATTACGTATCATTCATCAACATATAGGGTTTTCACAAGCTTGTGCTGATAAACCACACAAGGAAAATATATATTATAAAATAGCAAGTTGGTCTTAAATAACCAAACTTACCAAATGTTCAACCAAAGATAAATCAACAGCAATATACCCCAGAGTAATTGGAGTAAATAGAGAACCACAAACTTATACTTACGAAACAGTACCAACTATAACAAATTAAGAGACCATCACCAAGACTACACTCCATATACTGGAGTGAACAACAAGAAGAAGAAGATAACAATGTCTAGGAAAGAAAAGTTGAAAATTCCAGCAGTTTAGAACATCCACTTTTCTTCACAGCAACAAGGCTTCACATATACTGAGCATGAACTCGAACCCTGTTGCGCAGCCACCAATCCTTGGCTGCATCTGCATCAAAAATTTCCCGGCTGCAGACAGAGTTAACAAAGAGTCAAATCAAAACCCACTAATCGTCTAAATAAATTTTTAAATGAAATTTGGCAACATGTTACATGCAATCTAGGATTTTACCATTTCCTAATTTCACCAAAGAACATGCTCCTACGATCATCTAATTGTGAAGGAAAAAACAATAAGGAACATGTTTTTGATATGCATTTTATATTGCCTGCATTTTATATCCATTTCATTGTCAGTAGGGTTGTTAGCCCTTGATATCCCACCATGGAAATACCCCATATTCCCAGCGGGTGCATGGAAATTCCCCGAAGTCGAATCCATGTTCAGCATTGAAGCCATTGGGATATCTTGTTCAGATTCTCCCGAGTTCTGTTCAAAGGCAATAGTAATGTACATGAATGAATCTAGAGAATCCAATAGAGAGCTCTTATTGATGTCAACCTCTTCTCACGATATAGTGATAAACATGAATTGAAGTATCATGAAAAATAACATGGTCGATGAAATAGAGTCTTAACTCTTAACAACATCATATGTGTGTAAAAGTTGTAGATTACCTCATCATCATCCGACCTTGCAGGAGTGTTGAAAACATGTTGATTTAAATTCTGGATATTCTGAAGCTCCCTGATCCTGTCGTAATTCTCAGCCCACAACCTCTGGGCTCGCGGCTTTTAAACATGTCTCGGCTTCAAATTTAAATGCCAAGTACTATAAGTCTTTTTTTTTTGAATAACAAGTATTGTAAGTCTTTATTACTACATGATAATTAATTTTTTTTTCAACAACTAAAATTGTCATATATATATATATATTTGAAGGTCTCTAAGGTACTACATATATTTTCAAAACTTGGGACATATTATACATACCAGAAGCGAATCCTTTTGAGATCATTGCCCCCAGTAGGAATAGACACAACGGTGATGTGAGCATCTGGCTCCATCTTTGCTATCCACTTGTTGGATCCAGTCATGTCCACCATCACTACACTACCAGCTGGTGGTTGAGGTTGACGCCCTCCAGGGGTGGTGTTACCAATTGGGGATTGATTGGGGTTTCTGTAGTCCAAAGCAGGGGTTGAACTTGCGCTTCCACCACCAATGTAGCCGTATGTAACCTCTTCAGAAACGGTGTCATACTTGATGCTCTTGGGGTTGCCATCTTTGATTTTCTTCCCTGAAAGCTTCAGCACCAGATCCTTAATCTGCATATGCAGAATAAAAATTCAAATTAGCATCAATGCATTTAAAAGTCTTAATCATGTACCATACAATTAATACATACCATGGAGTCTTACGGTTTCAGGCTTAGGTCATTTTTAAAGCATCATACAATACCTTTACAGCTGGGCTAGTGGAGAATGTACTTGGTAGAGAATACATGCAAGTGGATGACAACAACATCCTTGAACGTGAAAGTCTATATATGTATATATCCTACTATCAACTATGTACCCCCAATGGAAAGAATTTTCTATTTTTAGAAATCTCCAGTAATTTCTATCCAAATATTACTTGTCCAATTTTTCACACAATTTAGAAATATTTGGTTCGAAATAGTTAGGACATATTATACATACAATTTAGAAACATTTTTCTGATCAGAGGTCATTTGATATTCTGTTTGGTTGATTTTATCGCTGGTTGTTAACTTTTTTTGTTAAAGAATGGCCGAGTATGATAGTTCTTCGATCTTATCTGGTAAGAGCACACGTTCTATATCTCTTCTTGCTTCTTGCACTGATTTTAAAACCTCATGGATTTTGGATTCTGGTGCAACTGATCATATGGCTTGTCGTACTGAGTTATTTTGTTCTTATCATCCTACTGTTGGTAGTCATACTATATCCGTAGCTGATGGATCCCATAAATCAGTTATTGGTTCTGGTAACATTCAAATTCAACCTTCCTTGTTTCTTAAAAATGTTCTTTATGTTCCTCAGCTTTCTACTAATCTTATCTCCACTCAAAAACTTACAACTGATTTGAATTGTTCTATCACATTTTTTCCTTCTCATTGTCTTATTCAGGATCTTACCACGAAGAAGACAATTGGAGTTGCTAATGAACAGGATGGGTTGTATCATCTCCTTCCAGACCATGCTAGCAAAAATCAGTTATTAATGACACGTCATCCTTCTACTGCAGAGTCTATGATTTGGCTCCATCACAAGCGTCTCGGGCATCCACCATTTAGTCTTTTGAAGTCTATGTTCCCCTCTCTGTTTCTCAATAAGTCGGTTGAGACCTTTCATTGTGATGTTTGTGAATTTGCAAAACACCATCGAGTGTCATTTCCTTCTAGCACTATTAAAAGCAGGGAACCTTTTTCTCTTATCCATTCTGACGTTTGGGGCCCTTCTAAAGTGCACAGTGTTTCAGGTGCAAGGTGGTTTGTTTCTTTGATTGACGATTGTACTCGGATAACATGGATATATTTGATGAAAGACAAGTCTGAAGTACCAGAGATATTTATTCGATTTCATCACATGGTTGAGACTCAGTTTGGTAAGGGTATTAAAAGACTCAGATCTGATAATGGTACTGTGTACGTCAATCAACGCCTGTCACAATTCATTTCAGACAGAGGTATGATTCATGAGCTCACATGTGTTGATACCCCTCAACAAAACGGGGTTGTTGAAAGGAAAAATTGTCACCTTCTTGAAGTTGCTAGAGCACTACTTTTTCAGACATCTGTTCCTAGTTCTTATTGGGGAGAAGCAGTATTAGCTGCAACTTTTTTGATCAACCGTTTACCTTCACGGGTCCTTAACAATATCAGTCCTATTCATTCCATGACTTCCTTCTTTCCTTCTGTTCCCATATTGCAGAGCCTTCCACCAAGAGTGTTTGGATGTGTTGCCTTTGTCCATGTTCATAAACAACATCGAAGTAAGTTGGATCCTAGGGCTCTTAAATGTGTCTTCCTTGGTTATAACCCTTATAAAAAAGGGTACAAGTGTTATCATCCACCAAGTCAGAAATTTTTTGTTTCTATGGATGTCACCTTTCAAGAATCTGAATCTTATTTCCTGGGTCCTCATCGTCAGGGGGAGAATAGTTCTTCAGAAGACTCGTCCCCTTCCTTCTTTGAGTCTGGATGAATCTTCTCTCTTCCTAGTGTGTCTGCTCCTGGTGTGTCAGAACCTTCAAATACACCTGAGATACAACCCATACTGTCTCACCAGCAACCTCAATCGTCTGAACCACTGGTAAGTCCTGAATCTCCTATTTCTTCTGAGTCTCCTGAATCTCCTGTTTCTGATTCTAATATTATTTCCTCTCATGATTTGTCTATTTCTTCTGATATCTCTAATGACTTACCCATTGCTTCTACTTCTGATGACTTACCTATTGCTCTTAGAAAAGGAAAAAGATCTTGTCACAAGAAAACTTGTTCCTCCTGTCCCTCTTGTACTCAATACCCTATCTCCCACTTTGTGTCCTCTGCTAATCTTTTTGTGCAGCACAAAAGCTTTGTTTCAGCACTAGATTCTATTGCAATCCCAAAATCAGTACATGAAGCCTTGAAAGATAGGAATTGGGCTCAAGCCATGCAAGAGGAGATGAATGCTTTGGAGAAAAATAAAACATGGGAGGTTATTGATAGACCCAACGGAAAGAAAGCAGTAGGGTGCAGATGGGTTTATGCCCTGAAATATAATTCTGATGGCACTCTTGAGAGATATAAGGCTCGATTAGTGGCCAAAGGTTACACTCAAACCTATGGCATTGATTATGAAGAAACCTTTGCTCCAGTTGCAAAGATGAATACAGTGAGAATCTTGTTATCCCTTGCTGCCCATTGCAATTGGGATATAAATCAATTTGATGTGAAAAATGTTTTCCTCAATGGTGAGTTAGAAGAAGAAGTCTACATGGAAATCCCGCCTGGTTTTGATTCTGTGAAGGGGGAAAATAAAGTTTGTAGATTAAAAAAGGCCTTGTATGGATTGAAGCAGTCACCTCGTGCTTGGTTTGAAAGATTTACTAAGGTTATGATGACCTTAGGATACAGACAAAGCCAAGGAGATCACACTCTTTTCTTCAAGCACTCCCAAAATGGGAAGCTTACTGTGCTCCTTGTATATGTTGATGATATTATTATCACAGGTGATGATTTTGTGGAGAGACAGATTCTGCAACCACGGCTTGCCTCTGAGTTTGAAATCAAAGACCTTGGGAAACTGAGATATTTCCTAGGGATAGAAGTAGCTCATTCAAGCAAAGGAATATTTATCAGCCAGAGGAAATATGTTCTTGATCTTCTCAAAGAAGCAGGAAAGCTCGGGTGTAAACCCTCTAATACTCCTATTGAGCAAAATCACAAGATGGGCTCTGAAGAAGAAAGTCCTCCGGTTGATAAAGGACAATATCAACGGCTAGTTGGGAAATTGATATATCTGGCCCATACTAGACCAAACCTAGCTTATGCTGTTAGTGTTGTCAGTCAGTTTATGCACGATCCAAAAGAAAAACACATACAGGCAGTAGAGAGAATTCTTCAGTATCTTAAAGGTACTCCTGGTAAAGGATTGTTATTCCGACGTGATGGCAATCTATCTTTAGAAGTCTACACAGATGCTGATTATGTTGGATCCGTGACTGACCGTCGTTCTACCACTGGTTATTGCATGTTTCTTTGCGGTAACTTGGTGACATGGAGAAGTAAGAAACAAGATGTGGTTGCCAGATCAAGTGCAGAAGCTGAATTTCGAGCTATGGCTCAAGGCATTTGTGAGTTACTGTGGCTGAAAATTGTACTTGATGATCTCAAAATAAAATGTGAGGGACCTATGAAGCTGCTATGTGATAATAAGTTCGCTATTTGTATAGCTCATAATCCAGTCCAACATGATCGGACTAAACATATTGAGGTTGACCGCCATTTCATCAAAGAGAAACTTGATAGCGGGTTGATTACCACTCCAAACACTCCCACTGGGCGTCAATTAGTTGATCTATTAACAAAGGGGCTTCCGTCAGACAGATTTCAAGAACTTACTAGCAAGCTGAGAATGATAAATATATATTCCTCAGCTTGAGGGGGAGTGTTGTAAATAATAATTATTTAGTTATTATTTAGTCATTTATTTGTTGTATTGGGCCAAGCCCATTAGGTTAAAATTAGGTCAAATATTCTCTATAAATAGAGAACCCCTTGTACAGATTATTTACAATTCTATAATATATTAGAATACCCTTTTTCAAGTAAAATTTAGGAAAATAAATTTGAAAATAAGCCTAGGATGGCCGAACCTACCAAGTGTGGGTGAGGTGATTTCGTGATTTTGCGTTTTGATGCAATTTGACGCGTACTAACGAATGTACGTGATTGTATAGGTTGCCGTACGTTGACTTGAATCCCGAACCTTGAATCTGGGAGTTTCCCTTGGTCCTGGACCAAGTGGATTGAGGTAAGTAATTGGTTCAATGCATGTATAATTGTAAATTAGCATGTATTGTATGAATTATAAGTGATTGGGAATGTCCTCTGTGTAGGCATTCTGCTGTGTACCAAGTTGAGGGATAAGCTGCTGCGGAGCTTGTGAAAACAATATTTAAGGTAACCTCTTGGTACTGGGGCTTGTTCCCCTTTTCTATTCCACCTTGCCAGTTGATGGCAACGGTAGGAAGTGTATATGAGTATTGTAGAACACATGAGCATGCATGCATTATTACAATGGTTACTTATGTACCGAGTCTCTGGCCAGTAGACAGTTTTCTTAGCCTTCGGGCAGTTTCGAACTTCCACTGGATAGGTCTCCAGGAGGGAGTTCCAGTTGACCGTGGGTTATGGTGTGTGATCCGGGTAGGAGCACACTAGGAATATCTTTGGCGTTTTGGATGGTTGGGGCATCATGGTTTTGGTTTCTTTGAACGCACCTTGGATGATACCCATAGGCTTATATATGCCCAGGGCGTACGTGGAATTGGGGTTACCATCCCGTATCGTCGTAGTTTGTATCTTTATATTCCCCATTTCTCTAAAACCCTTGCTATATCCCGTTTTAAAAATTGGTTGTTGTATTCTATTCATATGCATCGAAGTGAACCATTGGGCGGAGTTTTCTCCAGAACCTCTGGGTTACTGAGATATATTCGTATATCTCACCCCGTCTCGGGGCATTTATTTCAGGAGGTAGCAGTGGAGCGGGAGCAGCGGGCAAGAGGCCCGCAGAGTGATTCAGTGGAGTTTTAGCCTTTTGCATTTTGTTGGCTATGTGGCCTAGGCTAGACTTAGGGCATGAACATCTCATTTGTATTTTGGTTGGAGCTTCATTAGCATCTTGTTCATGTCATTTTGCCTAAGTCTAGTGGTCATGCCATGTAGTTTATTTTACCAATTGTATTTATGTTGTAATATTGGAAGATTGTAATTAAGTTTCATTGGGAGTTGTAAGTTTTAAAGCAATATTGTAATCGTATCTTGATGCATGTCTATTTATGATGGAAGGGCCTTAGGCCTATTATAGGTTATGATTATATGTATGATGAAAATGTGCATGAAAATGGTGTTAGTGATTGCAACTATCTAAGAATGATTATTGTGAGCTATATGTTTAATAACTATAAACTGGATTGGGTTGTAAGTGCCCCAAGGCGTTGTTGGTCCTTGTGTTTGCCACCCATTAGATTATTATTGTATTAATATGTGTTTATTAGGTACATTTGAGGCTTAAATTATCTTGTACGAATTTGGTATTATTGGAAAAACAAAAGAAACTCTGGCGAATTTTTTGTAGAATTGGCAGATTTTAGGCGAACTTCGGGAGAGCATATCTCCCTCCATAGATGTCCAATAGGGACGTGCCATACGCCATTTTGAAGGTTGAGATGTCCTCTACCTTGTGTTAAAATATGGGAAAAATATGGGTTGTTCTTAAACCTAGAAAAATTGTTGGAACGCAGACTGCTCATGTGCCCACTGCACATGTGGCAGTTCTGGTCCTGTTTTGGGAAATTAATTCCCGCTTCGTTTCTCAGTCAAATTAAGCATATGATATATCAAATCGAAGATTGACGTGTCTAGTTTATGGTGTACAAATTTGAGAGCAATTGAATGAGTGGATTGAGTGAAGTAATTCATGGAGTGAAAGAGGTTTAGAGCTGCTTTGGGGTTGGTTGGCTATTTTGCTTATCCAACTTCAAACGGTGATAACCGGAGCAAATGAGCTCCAAATTGAGCGTGTGATAGCTTTTTGAAAAGGGAATTAAATTAGACAAAGATATAACCTGAGAAGAAGGTCTAATTGTGAGCGGTGTGTGCGCAAAAAATTTAGGAATGAACCATGTTCAGATAGGTAAAAACGTAAAGTTTGGTAATGGGCTAAGTGGGTTTATGGGAACCCCTTAGTAACTTATAATAAGTATATTGTGATGTAAAAATAGATAAAATAAAAATTTCGCAAGAGTTAACAGTTATTGTCACATCTTTTAATTATTACGCGTTTTATTGTTTTAAATGCTCGCGTAATAATCGGAAAAAGTTTATTCGTATTTTTATAAATGAATTGCTGTGATTGTAACTGCGCTTAATATCATAATTAATGTTAACAATACCGGTACGTAACGGGCTGTTACACAACACAACTACGGTTCTACGAAATCCCAGAATATTCGGATATTTCTCGGGACCATATCCGGATATGCAATATCCGGATATCTCACTGGACATATCCGGATATGCAATATCCGGATATCCAGAATCCCATATCCGGATATCTAATATCCGGATGTCCAAATCCCATATCCGGATATTTCTCGGGCAAATATCCGGATATTTAACGACAGAATGCAGAAACTGCTTTTCGTGAAGATATCCTTCCAAGGTTGGGTTTTTACCTATTTTAAACACCTAAACATGCATTTCTAGGTGTGTTTGACCAACCCCAACATTAAGTTATCATCTTTTAACCTTTACATGTATAAGGTTCCATTTTTAAGCTCAAAGACTCAAGATCAAAGGTGATGAGGCTTACCAAAATTATTTTCAGTTATCCCAAAATTATTTTGATTCTTGTAAATAACTTATTTTCAGTTATCCCAAAATTACGTCGTTTTGAATTAATAAAAAGTATTTCTGTAATTTTATTTATTTTTTTATCAAATAAATTTTACTGAAACACCCTTCATTAATTTTCCTAACTTACAGAAACACCCTTCATTAATTCAAAACGACGTAATTTTGGAATCACTTATATCCGGTGACTGAAGAAATACTTTATCCTTACTTTAATTGTTTAATTGCGGTAGTTGGAATCAATTTACCCTAAAAAAAAATTAGAAATGATATTGTAACAACCAATTAGGGTTACTATCAATGTTACTACCAATCAATTTCACCATTAGATCGATTATACTGATCCAACAGTTATATTTATTTCCATCTTTGTATGATTATGATTTATCACATTTAATGATAATCGTTGAATCAATGTAATCGATTTAATGATAAAATTAATTAGTAATAACATTGATAATAATCCTAATTGATTTTTATAATATCTTACCTAGTGAATGACGATCACAACTACAATGGTCCTGAGCTAGCAAAATATGTTGTCAAATAAGTTTCAGCCCACCTGTTTAGAATCAATTGACCCTCTAACAAATATGTTTGACTTGTTTTAATTATTGGTGATTGGGCTTTGTGAATGATGACAACAGCTATTAAAGTCCTACCTTGGTAAACGAAGACCCTACCTTTATCTTTTGCAAAATTCTATGTCAAGTAAGTTTGACCCACATATTTTAGAATCTATTCACACCATAACAAATATGTTTGGCTTTTGCTCTAACATTAATTAAATTTATGATTCAGTGAATGATAGTAACTACAACGATTCTAAGATAAGAAAACTCCTTATTAGGTAAATTTCGACCCACACGAAGATGTAACGATTAGACTTTGTCTTGAACTGGGATTCATTCAAATGGATATGTTAGTGAATTTGATTTTAGGTTTTTGCAGAGCGAAGGTCTCTTTGCATGGGAGTTTTCTATAAATTTGAGCATACAAATAATTAATTTACTTTTTAGCCCTTAAAAGAAGTAGTATAGTATATTTGACGGGAGTGAATCATTAATGGTGATAAGGGAAGAGAGAGAAAAAGTATTGAAATAGTTAGTTATAAAATTATAATTGTTGATTCACCTCTATATGATTAGGATTCTTCCATATGATGTGATGATGTTAAATAAAACATATGAGAGAATTCGTTTTCATATTTGATACCTTTTGTAGTAGTCATATGATCGGAATCAAGGAGATTTTTATATCTCGATGGATGAGAAATTCAAATATATTATCAAATCATTTATTAAGCTCTTTTAGAGGTTTTCTCAACTAATCCGTGTGTGTTATTTTTTATTTTAATTTTATACAACTAATCTGTTTTTTAGTTTGTAATGTTAAATAATCGTCACGTACACTACTTGGGCATAATTCGGAAAACAGATTATGCATACGTATCTTGATCTATCGTATTATTATTGTTGTGATTTTGTTAATTGATCGTTGTGCTTTGTTTAAAGTACAGTGCCACCTTTTTATCTATTCAAATCGAATCGGATTAGTTGCGAAGCAATGAACCGAATGGAATATTTCCAAAAAAAGTACAGTGCCACCTTTTTATCTATTAAAATCGAATTTGGGACACTAAATTAAGTTTTATACATTTTATATGAATAATTGACAGGTTTTGTTATAGTTATTTTTATGCCTTTCTCTTGTAACATCAAAAAAGAAACACGTGAAAAAAATAAGACTATTCAAATCATGACATATTAAAAAGGATATGTTTTTCGGCTTTTTGACCCTTTTACCCTTCATTAATTAATTAATAATCATTTTGTCTCTCATTCAAAACTATCTATCAATCTGTCACTCTTTAATCGATTAAGTTGAAGATTTAATCGATTAAAAGGACAAAACTGACAAAAATGGTTGACTTGAAGATTTAATTAATTAAATCTTCAACTTAATCGATTAAATCTCCAAAAAGTTAGCAAGTGTTGTCTTGTCACTTGAGATAGGAACGAAAGATTTTTTTTTCTCCCCTCCAATTTTTATCATGCTTTCGGAGTTTATGGATGAGCTTTAATTTTATAATTCCATTTAATGTTGTCTTGTCATTGCATTTAGCATTACCAAGTGTGTTGACTTTGCAAGCTTGCCCCTAATCAATTGGCAATTGCAGCATCCAAGAGTTAATAGTTAAAAAGGGTTAAAAAAAGAAAAGAAAAGAAAAGGCGTCTGCTGCGTATTTTCCTTCACAAATTTGCCTTCACCAAGTAATAAAAGCAAGTGGGGCCTTTGTTTTCGGACTATATCTATATTGACAATCCAACATAATCAAATGATTGAAACCATAAAGCAAAGCTTATTTATCTACTTTTCGTTTCTTTTTGGAGATTTAATCGATTAAGTTGAAGATTTAATCGATTAAATCTTCAAGTCAACCATTTTTGTTAGTTTTGACCATTTAATCGATTAAATCTTCAACTTAATCGATTAAAGAGGGACAGATTAATAGATAGTTTTGAATGAGGGGCAAAATGGTTATTAATTAATTAATTAAGGGTAAAAGGGTCAAAAAGCCTAATTTTTCTCATAGGGTACACAGTTTTAATATGTATATATAATCATTTAAATTTTTTAAATATTTTATGCAAACAGGACTGCAGTGATATCACGATTTAAACGAAGTAATAATTTTTATAATGCTTATTATGTCTGAAATATATATATAATTTTTTTTTTTATAACAAAAATATTTTTTTTAAGTTTTAAGAAGGATCTCTAAGGATTTAGGGAAAAAATTATGTATCATTCATCAACATATAGGGTTTTCACAAGCTTGCGCTGATAAACCACACAAGGAAAATATATATTATAAAAGAGCAAGTTGGTCTTAAATAACCAAACTTACCAAATGTTCAACCAAAGATAAATCAACAACAATATACCCCACAGTAATTGGAGTAAATAGAGAACCACAAACTTAAACTTACAAAACAGTACCAACTATAACATATTAAGAGACCATCACCAAGACTACACTCCATATACTGGAGTGAACAACAACAAGAAGAAGATAACAATGTCTAGGAAAGAAAAGTTGAAAATTCCAGCAGTTTAGAACATCCACTTTTCTTCACAGCAACAAGGCTTCACATATGCTGAGCATGAACTCGAACCCTGTTGCGCAGCCACCAATCCTTGGCTGCATCTGCATCAAAAATTTCCCAGCTGCAGACATAGTTAACAAAGAGTCAAATCAAAACCCACTAATCTTCTAAATAATTTTTTAAATGAAATTTGGCAACATGTTACATGCAATCTAGGATTTTACCATTTCCTAATTTCACCAAAGAACATGCTCCTACGACCATCTAATTGTGAAGGAAAAAACAATAAGGAACATGTTTTTGATATGCATTTTATATTACCTGAATTTGATACGGCGAATTTGCCTGGTCCCATTAGCTGACCTCTTCAAAGTGATTGACACTCCAGGATCATCCTGCTCAACCCATTCAGCATCCATGTCATTGTCAGTAGGGTTGTTAGCCCTTGATATCCCACCATGGAAATACCCCATATTCCCAGCGGGTGCATGGAAATTCCCCGGAGTCGAATCCATGTTCAGCATTGAAGCCATTGGGATATCTTGTTCAGATTCCCCCGAGTTCTGTTCAAAGGCAATAGTAATGTACATGAATGAATCTCGAGAATCCAATAGAGAGCTCTTATTTATGTCAACCTCTTCTCACGATATAGTGATAAACATGAATTGAAGTATCATGAAAAATAACATGGTCGATGAAATAGAGTCTTAACTCTTAACAACATCATATGTGTGTAAAAGTTGTAGATTACCTCATCATCATCAGACCTTGCAGGAGTGTTGAAAACATGTTGATTTAAATTCTGGATATTATGAAGCTCCCTGATCTTGTCGTAATTCTCAGCCCACAACCTCTGGGCTCGCGGCTTATCAAACATGTCTCGGCTTCAAATTTAAATGCCAAGTACTATAAGTCTTTTTTTTTTGAATAACAAGTATTGTAAGTCTTTATTACTACATGATAATTAATTTTTTTTTCAACAACTAAAATTCTCATATATATATATATATATATATATATATATTTGAAGGTCTCTAAGGTACTACATATATTTTCAAAACTTGGGACATATTATACATACCAGAAGTGAATCCTTTTGAGATCATTGCCCCCAGTAGGAATAGACACAAAGGTGATGTGAGCACCTGGCTCCATCTTTGCTATTCACTTGTTGGATCCAGTCATGTCCACCATCGCTACACTACCAGCTGGTGGTTGAGGTTGACGCCCTCCAGGGGTGGTGTTACCAATTGGGGATTGATTGGGGTTTGTGTAGTCCAAAGCAGGGGTTGAACTTGCGCTTCCACCACCAATGTAGCCGTATGTAACCTCTTCAGAAACGGTGTCATACTTGATGCTCTTGGGGTTGCCAGCTTTGATTTTCTTCCCTGAAAGCTTCAGCACCAGATCCTTAATCTGCATATGCAGAATAAAAATTCAAATTAGCATCAATGCATTTAAAAGTCTTAATCATGTACCATACAATTAATACATACCATGGAGTCTTACGGTTTCAGGCTTAGGTCATTTTCAAAGCATCATACAATACCTTTACAGCTGGGCTAGTGGAGAATGTACTTAGTAGAGAATACATGCAAGTGGATGACAACAACATCGTTGAACGTGAAAGTCTATATATATATATATCCTACTATCAACTATGTACCCCCAATGGAAAGCATTTTCTATTTGTAGAAATCTCCAGTAATTTCTATCCAAATATTACTTGTCCAATTTTTCACACAATTTAGAAACATTTGGTTCGAAATAGTTAGGAGAGACATCAAAAGGAAGAAGGAAGAGCATGAAGAAGAAGGTAAACTAATAAGCAAATATAAAGGAGAGACATCAAAAGGAAGAAGGAAGAGCATTGAAGAAATCATTGAAGTAATCATTGAAGGATGAAGTTAAGCTTAACACTTTCATTGAATGAAACAGTGACAGGAAATGGCCATTTACGGTAAACAAAAGCAATGATTAGGTTACAGGGAAAGCGCCGAAATAAAGACCGCACAGATGCAGCAATTGAGTTACAATGCAACTAATGAATAACAATGCTCCAAAAAACAACATCTTTCACGTGAAACAAAATGGTCCTAAGATAACTGTAACACCCCAAATTTCTAACAATTTATAAAAAAATCTTATAATAAATAAATTGTCAAAATTCTTTTTTTTTTACAATTATAATAATAGAAATATTGTGAAAGCTAATCTAAATCTAATTTGGGGAATGTTACCGTCGCACCTGTACAATGGACATGTGCAAGGCTAAATTTATTACAATAAAATAAAACCAAAGATTAAAGTTTAAATAAAGGAAATATGTCTTATGCATTTATTTAAATCTCATAAATTTCTAACTAAAGATTAGGATACACACAATAAAACATATAACTACCTAAAGATTAGGATACACACAATAAAATTTCATACACAACGAACCTACAACCCACCTAGAGATTAGGATTACCTGGTCTCCGTGTTTGGTGACTTCTACAACTTGGGGAAGAGAAGCGGTTGGTAACCAAAGAAAGATAATAATAAAAATAAAAATTTAAAGTGAGGAGAGAGAAAGAGAAATTGTAGAGGAGAAGAAGAGTGGTGGAGAATTATTGAGGATTCAGAGTGAATTGGTTTGGTTATGTTAGGTCTCTATTTATAGTTGAAGTTTTGGGCTCGGATATGGGCTTCGTGCATTTATTTCCATTTTCTTTATTGATGTATTTGGCTCAGATTTTGGCTTTATACACTATTGACTCAATGCTGACTCATCATATCTAAACAATTTATGTTTGTTGACTCATCTTATCTAAATCATCAATCAAACATTAATACATAAATCATCAATCAAATATTAATATATAAATCATCAATCAAACATTAATACATAAATCATGAATTCAAACATTAATACATAAATCATCAATCAATTAATAAACCAATTAATCATGATTTATCATCTAATTTTTATATATATCATCTAATTGTAACGAGTGGCGGTGAGATGAATGTAGTACAGACAAGCTGGACGTAGCCTATTTTGGGTGAACCAGGGTAAATCGCTGTGTCTATTCTCTTTCTCTCTCTCTCTCTTTTCTTTTCCGTTCTTGATTCGTGTGATTGTCAATTTCCAACACTTAAAAGGTGATTAAAATCAATTTACATCATAACAAGCATATATGACTTATTTTCCTTATTAATAAACTTTCGGGCTCAGTGAATGGAGAAATTCCTAATTGAGTAAGTATGACTTGTAGGGATGGTAAATAAATCAGGAGCCTTTCAGAGCCTTTGACCCATCTCGTGAAGGTCTGAGCTTACATATCTAAAATTGATTGTTGGAATCAGGCTTGAACTTATATAAAAGCTCGTTTAAAAAAAAAGATCTCAGGTTCCAATTCAAAAACCCGACCTTAGAGCCTTCCAGGCCGGCCTAGTATACTAATTTTTTTTATTTTTTATACTACACATAATAGCCATCTCTCTCCTCAACTCATTTCACCTCATTTTATTGGTTAAATATAATTTTTGAATGATTTTGTTCTATATTATGCTCTTTGGATATACGTTGAATTTATGAATCTTTGTTGAATTATTAGTGCTGTTGATCGTATATTCTGTTTGGATAAAATTTTGTTGTCTTGTATTTTTTAACAGGCAAAATCAAGTTTTAATTTAACTCAAATTACAATTTAAAATTAAATTTTGCCAATTATGTAAGTTAGTATAAATATCAGGAATGGATCATTCAATATGTTATTTAATATGATTATGTTATATGAGATAATTTTAGTTATTTATAAATAAATCAACAATTATCTTTTTGTCACTCTCTATTTTAATATTTTCTTATCTCTCATCTTTTGTCATTGTTATTTTGTTTATAAATAATTAAAATTATCTCACATAACCTCATGTTGAATTACACAGGGGAAGATTCATTCTCATAAATATTACACTTCATTTGCATTGTTTATGACAATAAACAAAAATGGATCCTTTTATATGACATAAAATCCTGTGATATAATTTCAAATAAAAATAAATTAACAGTGGTTTTAATAACAGTGGTTTTTACCATGTGATAGCTAACTCATTCCAAATTTATTTAACATTGCGAGTTGTTATCTGTCGTTATTACACCATAGAAACTCAATATTCACATTTCACATTATGACAATTCTCCAATTCATTTTAATTGTAATTGTAACGGTCTATTCACACCTCCTGCACTATGAAAAGATTACTGCACTATTTTTTTTTTTTTTTAGGTTACAAGAATTTGAATACAACACCCAAAAAAAAATTTCTCAAGTTTTTTTAATAAAAACAAGACAACTACAAAAATTCAGGCATTTTGTGGGGGTCATATTTTCATATTGTGGAGGTCTTTAACCCTCACAAAAGATATTTGTGGCATTCACATCAACCCCCAGTTTTGCCTTCGCCACAACATATTTTGTGGGGGTTTTATGTGCAATGCCACAATTTGTTGAGTATTTTCTGGAGGTTCGAGACCCCCACAAATGTTACAATTTTTGACATTCTCTAACCTCCACAACATGTTTTATTTTTTGTAGGTTAAAAACCTCCACAAAATTGTTTCAATTTATGGCATTCTCTAACCTCCACAATCTATTTAGCATTTTTGACATTTCTATACCTCCACTATTTGTCTTATTTCGTAGCAGCTTCAAATTGCTTAAGTTGAAAGTTTTATATATCATAATTTGGAGATTGGGCCTATCTAATCACTTGATTTGTTAGCCAATTTTATTTTTAGTACCTGTTATAATGGTAAACCACAATAAAGCTGCACATTCGATGAGTTGAAGTTAATTGTCTTAATTGATCTGTCTCATCCAAATATAAAGTATAAGATAGATAACTAACAAGAATAAATAAGAAATCAAGTCCAAAAATTTTCAAATTTACATATTTGTAAATTTAGAAACTGATGAGTAAGAATCCCCCTTTCCCCTAAAAAGAAAGCCTTATTTGTCATAGCAAAGAAATGTGGAAGATACGGTTTTTCCAATGTAATTTTTACTTATCCTATCAAACTCATACAATACCCTAAATTTTTTAACTATGCAGTAGTGCCTCATCAGACGAGAACATGAGACTTTGCAGCATCACATGAGCATTTTGCCCTGCCACTCTTACTAAGGACACAAATACATGTCTCAAGAATCTCAAAATCCTCATCCCAGCACAACAAGGTTGCTTTTTCAGGATTCTTCAAAAAGATCTTAGAAGCAAGGAACCCAACTAATGTCCATGTTTGATAACGCCTAGCTTGTTTTCCAATAAATCTTCTTGTTCGGGTGTCAATATTCAAGCCAAGAATCAACTGGTATCCTTTTCTCCGCCAAAGCAACTGCTTTATGAGCTAGTTCATTTCTCCCCATTTTGATGCATGCCAACGTGAACTAAAGATCATGCGTGAACAAACATATTAGATATTAAAGCAAAGTTTAGTTGTGAAGATGAGTCTTTCACAATAAGTGTAGAATTAGATATTAAACCAAAAAATGTAGAAACTAGAACAACTCAATATTGGATGGATATTTAGGAAATGACAGAGGGAAAGCCTTGGAGCAGCAGTAATGTTGTTTCTTGTGACCGGAAGTCACGGGTTCAAGTCAGGGAAACAACATCTTTGCAAAAAAAGCAAAGGTAAGGCTGTGTACAATCAACCCTCATCTTTTCCCTTGCATGTCTAGGAAACCTTGTGTACCGGGGTTTTCCCTTTGTCATTTATTTAGGAAATGACAAACTTACAATTATGAACAAAGGAGATGCGAACATTGAAATGAGAGAAGCACAACTCAAGAACCCACAAACATCCGGCGCATTGAACTGTCAGCTATTTGCATGCTTCCCACTAGTATGATCACAAATAAGCCCAAAACTACCAGCAGCAATCCAAGCATTCTCACCTATCAAATGGAAGTTCAAAGTAGCAGAGCTTAGACATGAATCAATGTGTTTT